GCATACTTATATTCGTCCATGCACACGCCCCTATCCGCTCGCATAAATAGCAAATTGCTTTGCCCTGGGGGAATTAATGTAATGCAATCGTGTTTATACGCACCCCGAAAATAACGACGTTACTTTCCTTTGTTAATCGGACTAACAGCAATATGCCAATCAAACGCACACCAGCCCTGCATTTTAGTAGTGGCCGGCATGCGGAGAGATTTTGTTTTTGAAGGGAGAGAAGAAAAGTACATAATTTATGGCTGAGTACTATAAAATTTAATTATTTATGAGTTACCAGTTATTGTTATTTTAATTGGCCTCATTTCCTCAGTCTCCTATTGGCTAATCGGACCAACGACCAATCAGCCAATCAATGGATTCTCCAAAGGGTCGATATTTTCGCCTATGAACACGAACATCATTCACAATCAAATCCTCAGCTACAATGTGAGTTTTTTGTGAATTGTGCAACTTTAGTAGCTGAGGCATTAGTAGATTTCGCTCTGATTAAAAAAGGGCCATTCATGGTGAAATTTGCAAATGAAATCGTTGCATTGAATGCACTGGAAAATTGACCGAGGATATGAATAAATAAGGATCCAACTGAGAGTACTTTGCGCCCTCATCATGTGGACAAATGCATTTGCTTTGGAGGCCAAAACATCACCGTCCTTGATAAATCACATGGTGGATCAACCATTACATCGAGAACTCCGAGTTAAACCCAACAGAGCTGCTATATATATACATTTATATTTATACATGTCTATATGTGTATGAGCACAGAAAGTCATACACGCTTAGTGTGAAGCATGTGATTATAGTGTCAAGTTATTCTTAAGCATTATACATTAACAGCTTTGATTATATTCCTTGTTTGCAATCTCAGCAAAATGTGATTCAAGTCATAAAAAATTAATATTACTAAATCGTGTTTGTAAACTTCTAGTAGACGACCATTGGGAGGGCTTTCAATCCAACTCAACCCATAAAAACTTTTAATGAGACTTTTGGTTACCACCAAAACTTAGCTTCTGCCTTTTTTACTAATCCACTTTTGTGTGCTCCCACAAATGTGCAAATTCGAGTCAGTAATAATATTCTTTTTGTTTTATGCCTTATTGAAAGAAAAAAAAATATGGCGTTTAGAGCACAAAATACAAATCACTCCATTTTGCCTAGCTCTGTTCCGGTTGAACAGAGATCAGACGGCAACTAAACTCAGAGGGCGCAGCGATCAATGATTTTTGGATAATCAATACATCAGCATAGCGCCCTTGAATTGTTTGTTTTAATAGATAAATAATTGTTGAATGCGATATTATTTCGCAAAAAAATCATTTGACAAAATTAATACAGTTTTTTGCCTTAAACGTCGCATACAATAAGGACGTGTAGATGTTGTGTTATGCATTAACATATGGAAATGAAAGGACAGTCGAATGAATAATGAAGGGATGAATCGGGAACGAATGAACGAACGAATGCATGAATGATGAATGATGGTTAAATGATAGAATGATGAACGAATGAATGATGTATAGCTGAATGAATGAATGAATGAACGAGCAAATGAATGAATAAAGTGATTAAGTGAGGAGTAATTCCTAACCCTTTAATAAAAAATCTTTGACATTGGAGTGAGAGTGCGGTGGTCACTCTGAGAAAGGTGGGGCAACAGATATCGAAGGGGAATTTTACGTTGGAGCAGTAGGAGACGAGGGAGTGTCCTACTAGAAAATCGCTATTTGACCACTCTTGCTCGAGAAGACGGCTGCCACTGCGTTCCAATGCAGGGCATATGTACGCATTGCATCACAGAGCAAGACGATGCGGTGTCCTGACACTAATAGAGGTGTACGGACAGAAGTTGGATATGTGAGTCATTTGTATTTGTCAGGAGGTTTAATGTGGACTACAAGTCTCCTCCTCCTCCTCCTCCCCCTCCTCTGTTACTCTCGTTCACTCCATTTTTCTCGTAAAATAATCGTGCATGAGCATACCAAGGCGTTCACAGCTGTTCAACTTGATAAAGGAATGAATGATTAATTGAATGAATGAGTGCCAGGGTAAAATGCATGAATGATTGAATGGATAGATAGAGAAATGATGGATTAATGAATGAATTAGAAGGAAGGATGGACGTGTCAGATTAAATCGCTGGACATATTTTTCCTTAGGGTAGGCCAATGTCTCGGACCTTCCACATTATACCTTTACCATGACTCTACTTGATTGCTCAACTTTGTTTTTAAATCTCCAAGCGGACCCTTTTTAAGGCCTTCTTATTCCTCTATCTGGTTAACAGTTGCATTGTCTGCCGCAATAATTATTCACACAGTCCTGCCAGTTTCATCATCTCCTTTATTTACACTGTATCAGTAAAATGCTAAAAAATCTACCAAAACTTGTCCATTGAAGCCTCTTTTTGTTTATGCAAATGCATTGAACTAACAAAGGGATGAGTGAATAGATGGATGAATGAATGAGTGATTAAACAAATAACTAAACGGATGAATGAATTACTTCATGGACGAGTGATTGACTATTTGGAGGCACAAACAATCTTCCGATTTTGTATAAACAGGACATTTGACACAGCCAGATGGCAAATTGTAAGAAAACCTCCAGTAAATCTGTCAAGTGGATCCTCCAACACAAACATCTGCAATCCACTGTCATTGGGGGGCTGTTTGTGGGGCCGATCGTAGCGCATGACAAGTCGATGAACCCGCACATTGCGGTAATGGCATTGTGAAAGATCATGCGAACTAACTTCATGGGTAATGATGGATTTACGACGGTGAAATGCTGCCTCCCATTTTGTCTGAGGTCGAACTTTAAATCACACGCTTCATCAGTCAACCATTTCATAGTGCCAATGTATTTTGCACTCCTACCATTGCTATCTACCATCTTTATGTCCCTTCATGACAGCTTGGATGCCAATGACGATTGTGAGAAAGCTGCAATTAGTTTGCGTGTGTGTACCGCCCAACTTCAAAAAAAACCACAAAAAAATGCATTCACTCGGGACAACAACATACAGCTGCCCTTTTGCCACTTCTTGGGTTGAGAAACTCTCAAATCCACGCACTTATGGTGGATAAGAAGGGTCCCAAATTCATCCAAAAAAGAGTCTATCAGTCGAATGGCTGATGATGACATTGCTGTCCCGCGGGACATGTCAAGGCAACCACTTCAAAGGCATAAACCTTCAGCATCCTCGATCTACCCATTGCACGATTTACATCCATGAACCCCATTTGAATCTATTCCAGTTCGTTCATCACTAGTACATGCTCATCAAATAATGTTTGATTTTAAAGTAAAAAAAGTTGAAAATCAGGAGAAACCACTGTAACTTTGAAGGTCAAATCAATTTTTAAAAAAAATTTATCTTTAGTACCGTCCTGAAAGGTGATGTTAAATGGTCCTTGCTAGTAGATAAAGCAGTTGTAATTTACTACTCTTGACATCATTTTGGAGTCTTTACTCCCTCCACCTGCTGTAATGCATGTTGCACAACGTCGAGGTAAGGCGCCACATGACTTAGACATTTCAAATTAATCAACCTGTACGATTTTGCTATCACAGGGAAGAGAAGGAGGTGCTTTCTGAAACAATAAGCACATCGCCATGAAAACTCTAAAAAGTCACAGTCATGGTGACTGGAGCCCTTGCAGGTAGTGGCGTACACAGCGCATATTCGCTTATTGATTTCTCGTGAACTTGTCCCGTTAAGCATTGATTGGTCATGTAACATGGATGACTCATCACTGTGACTAATCAATGCGACCTAATCAGCTAGTGCGCCTATCCGATCCCCATCACACTGCTAAAGCGCCCAAACCGGGTATTTTCTAGTGTATTTGGCGGAGTTGGAAGCACTTCCTTTTGGAGTTTTTTTCTTAGGTTAAGCGTATGGTTTGCGAGAGCCTACAGAGTGGCATAGCTTATCCTCCCGTGAATGGAGCACGATTTTTTGTAAATGTGTATTGCAATAAGCGAAGTCCCCGTGATATGCCTGACTTGCGACTCCAGGGTGTCATTTGGGTGAGGTTTATTAAATGAGGCAAATTTCAATGTAACGAAGGCTTGCCATCTTGTCATCAAACTGAATTACACGCAAATCAGGCCTAATTGAATTCCAAAAGGGCTGGAGCAAGAGGCTAGGAGGGGGGGGGGCAGGGAGGAGAGACCATCTACTGACTCAAGCAATTTTTTAATTTCTGATTAAAATGGCTCAATCAAACTGCAATAAACGTCAATCAACTCGTAATCAACTTTCATGTTAATGATAATTAATCACCGAGAGATTAAATAAATGAAGTAGTCGCAGAGTTAGGAGATGAGCTCATTCAACCTTTCCTCGTCAAATGGGTGATTACTAAGGGTCTAAATAGCATCAAGATAAGGTGCGAAGGAAAATATGACGAATGAAGATGGCATAGAAAGGCCAGAATTCACACAAAAATAGTTACCAAAAGAAATGTAAATGCCGAAGAAGCATTAGCGTGGCATGCTCAAGAGTATTTGAAACAAGTTTGAGCAAAGGAATAGCTGATAGCCATAACTTCACGAAGAAATACACTACAGTGATCACATCGTAAAGCATATTCACGGCTCACTTCAAGCGAAGCGATACCTTCCCAAAGTACAGATACTGCACAATCATGACGGCAACTAACGGCGCGAGACGATGATCAGAATAGCCATGAACTTGAACCTGACCAAATCTATGCTCCATGGAGGAAGACAGCCTCAGACGAGAGAATGAAATGCAGTGTATAGTTTTTTACCTTATATACACAAAGACAGACACCAAAACGACGATATCGAAGGGCGGGAGAGTGGAAGCAGTGCAAGATAAGTACAAGTACAAAGGGGTAGAGTTTTCATATCATCATCATCATCATTCACCATTATCAGCATTATTATCATCATCAATCGCAACCATCATCACAGACACAGAAGCTAGGTGTGAACAAAAGACGCAAACACGCAATTCAGTTTACAGAACTCAGCTTGGAAGGCAGAGAGGAAGAAGGTCCTAAAGGTACCTGTGAGGGCAGGCTCATCTCCGTCGGGGGCAGGGGATTGGCCGATGCTGCGAATTGAACTACACGGGAGACGAGATTACAAAAGGAATTAGGAGAAAGGAAAGGTGGCCCCGTGGGTCCCATGGTGGAGGTCGAGGAATCGATTAAAGTTGACGGAGAGACGGAAGGAGGTGGTTGCGGTGGAGGAGGAACAAGTTTTTTCGTTCCAACGGTGGGAGCTGTAGTTGTCGTAGCAGCTGCTGCAGCGCCTACACTAGATTGATATTGGAAATGGGTTTTGAGGTGGGATAACACATTACTCATCACAGGGTAGCGATTTCTTGCAACGGAAAACCGCACAGCACATGTCCTTTCGCGTTTCTCCCGACAAAGATGACAGTAAAAGATCCCCGTCACCCTTTTCTGACCGTTTTCGCCTCCTCCGGATACCTCCATTTCCATATCAAAATGCTGACCGCGGACGAGGTTTGCGTTGACAAACTGTCGGGCGGCTAGACGGCAAGCACTGGCCGAGGAATGGTGTATCAGCCTTTCCACGTCAATATTGTCAGTGGAAGCGGAGGAAGAACTTCTAGGCTGTGGAGAATGGGATTGAGGCTGTTGGGGAAGAGAAAATCTTCCCCCCATGCAGTCGAATAGTCTTTTACAGTCACTTTCGACGGTGGAAATTGAAGGTGGCGGTAGCTGAGGTGGAAGATGGAAAGAGAGACTCTCTGTCGAAATGTGGGCGGGGGGTGGAATGAGAGAAGAATCGGAAGCATTAGCGAACGCGGGGTCTGGAGGGCTGCCTTCGGAAGACGAAGTCAGCGAAGACGGTCCAAGACTAGACACTTCAGTTTGAGTAGCAGCGTCTGAAATTGTGTTAAATGGAACGGATAGCGAAGTGGTAAAGGTACCCGTTCGTTTCAGTTCTTCCACTGCTAACTGGAGACCGCAAACAACACCGGCGGGAAGTTTGAAGTTTGTTGGATGTCGAGCGTATACAGGGCCAAGAAAGTACTGACGGATCTTCGGAGAATTTATGAGGGCACAGGTAGCTCCAACAAAGACTTCCAGTTGCCGAATGTTAGTCTCGCTGTTTAGGCATGCGAAAACCACCGCGGTATCAAACCCAGCAAGTTCAAGGCAGTGGATAACGTAATCGGCACGAACATACTTCCGAATAAGCTCGCGCAACGCCGGATCCATGGGATTGGGTGCAGCAGCAAGATATTGGTGTTCGTCTACGCCATCCTCCTCGCATCCGGCGAAATCATCATTCTCGTCGGCTTCTGAAAAATCGGTTTCGGCGCTTATGGGCTCACCAAGAGATGAACCTGGCTTGCTATCTGCTTGTTGTCTATCTATGCATTCGCCTTCAGCGTGATCGCCTGGGCTTATGGGGGAGCTTTTAATTCTTTTATTGGTCATTAATTCGGATGAAGGATGAAAGAGACTGCGTTTCCGCATGTCCACGACCTCGTCCTCACCCTCCATCTGAGACACTGCAAGATTAGCACCAAAACCACTGCAACTACGAAAATTAGAAAACCAATGTGCAAAATGGCTCTTAAGCATGCATAATCTACGGTTACTACAGTACTACTGAGAGAAAGTCGTCCTTAAATACACGTGAAGTGCAAGACCTGTAGAGCCTACCGGTACTTTACCGTCAATAGGTGTTGTATCCAGAAGGCAAATGAGAGCCAGCATGTAAGAATAGCAAACAACAAGATGAATTCAGTAAAATTATTAGATGTGATTTTACAAATGCATAGACATCTTGCATACTTGGAAAAAATTCATACAGAATTGGTGACAGGTTAGAATAAATGGTAAGGCTGACAAAACGGTTCCATTTCCACGGAAACATTAATTACCCTGAATACGAAAGCGAACTCCTACACTAACACGGAACGATCGCGCCAACACCTTTATTATCGGCTAATAAACACGAATCAACATTAGTCTCTTTTTTGATTGGTTAGTAATAACCTCAATATGTGATCGCCATTGGATAACGTAATTCATTATCGTATTGGCTATAGACATTAATTTAAAGAATATTTATTAGATGCAGTAAGAAGGATATGAATTTAAACAACAAAATTGCTTTCAGATATAATTCGAAAGATGAAATAACATAAATTAAGAATCTTTTAATTATGACTTGCTATTGCAATACAAAGTGTGAAGTCAAAGGCGAAAAATTTCACGCTTAGTGAGAAATGGCAAACATATTTAACATCTTTGTAATATTAAAATGTCCTCATACGAACTGCTTTTCGGGCTTTTAATAAAGTATATAGGGGAAGCCATAAAATTATTGGGCCGAAGAGAAGCCGCAGTCCGTTTGATGGACGCACAGAATAATTCGAAAGAGGGATTTAGGCCATTCATTATTCACATTGGAATTTTGTAGCTAGGGTTTGCAGCGTTATGATGCTAAAAAAGGTAGTAAGTGGGGCTGAATAATGTATTCAATTAGAGATACAGGAAAAGATTCTTTGGCTTGTTATGACGTACAGATCGCGTGCATAATAGGAAGATAATAATGAAAGAGAAACAGTGAGGCCAGATACCTGTATTACGAAAGGCACAGAGCAAACGGACCTAAGCATGGACAAAAGCCAGTCAACATGTACAAGGACGAGACAAAACATAAAAGAGACCACTGAACGTCTGATGGTTACATATGAAGCGTCCCGAGTCCTCCTGGACGGCAAAAAAAGTTATTTAGTGCAGTTAAACACATGTATGCTGAAGATAACAGGACAAAGGAACATGGATATGGCCCGAAGGCCAGCTCATGTTTACAAGAACCAGACAAATCTATAAAGTGACCGCTAAACGTCTGATGATCACAAAACAAAGCGTTCCGCCAACCCTCTTTTCTTTTGAGCAACGTCCTCGGTGCTCTCCTTTCGCACATCCTCGTACCAGACATCACAACATATTCGGTACTACATGAAAGCATCCACAAGCCATCCGCACCAGTTGACAGGCAGCATGAGACTGGGCAGCCGTACCTGGTCTTCTCGGCAGCTTCAACTGCATCTGGATTTACGTTCGGTCTGACAACCAGATTCGGGACCGCACACATCTGTTGACTATCGATTGCTCCCAGGAATGGACGGTGCAACTCTGGTCGAAAACATGTATGTTGCAGGGGAAATGGGATGAGCCACTATCCCGAATGTAAGGAGAAGCGTAGCGTCATTTCCGGCACCTAAACACGGATTTTGTATGGGAGATTCCAACACGAAGCTTTTCCAGATGGTTCACGGTGGTGTCGCTTCAGCTGGCAATGGCTTGTCTGTGGAACACGAGAATAAGGTGAAACCAAATGCAGACATCAGTCTAAAGC